TAGATCCTCAGATGGTTCTAGCACTTTCGTGACCACGGGCTGAGAGTCTTTGCTAGATTTTGGCATTTAGCAACTGACATACGGTTTAATGTGAAGACAACAACAACAACAACTGTTGTATTTGGTATTCGGGTTCTGTTGATGACCCAAAAACAAATGCAGAAAGTGCGGCTCCGCATTACCAAGGTTCTGCGCTAGGTTCGAGGTTCTTGTCTCTTACGGATGCTTGATTGTATTTGCGGATGTCGGCGAGGAAGGGAATGGACGGATAGCTGTTGAGGAAACTTGTTGTTGATTCGTCTCTCGGCGGCTGCTGCACTCGACACAGCTGCATACCAACACTGCTGTTGCTGTTCAACCTATCCACGCACACATGCTGAACTCAACCTCTGTCTAGATCTCTGCAGTCGAACTGGTACTCAACACATACATGCCCAGTTCACCTTTGCCCTTGCCCGGTTAGCTCTCTCTNTGCTGAACTCAACCTCTGCCTAGATCTCTGCAGTCGAACTGGTACTCAACACATGCCCAGTTCACCTTTGCCCTTGCCCGGTTAGCTCTCTCTTCTCTGAACTCATGATGTTGACCGAGAGCCATATTCATGCAGACACACACGTCATCTCGGAGAATAGCTAATTCCGCCGCATCTTAACGCAAATCCAGCATAGAACGGGGACAAGGTCCAAACAGCCCCTGAAACGAGCCTACTTCGTACCACATTCCCCCACACTACTTTTTGGCATAATGGGAAAATATTCTGTTATCTCCAAAAAGCAATCCAAAAACATGTATTCCTCAAGAAGTCAAGAGAAACCGGCGTCCAGTACCATTTCTATTCTGAAACTGGTACAGCCTCGATCACATCAGCTCTAAGCCTTCAACAAAATTCCAAACATCAACATGTATCCGTCTCGACCGCCGTGGCCAGACAGCAATATTCAAAACCCCATGGAATTCGCTCCATCCTAAGCGGGAACTCGTTTACACTCACGACACAATTGTCAAGCCCTCAGCATTTCATCCCTTCGGGCCCAAGTACCCCCACACAAACCACCATACACGAATCCCAAGAAAATTCTTCATCCTACCGTCTGCCGTCAAGAATCCATTTTACCCCGTGCCGCGCTGCCGTGTTTTGGAAACGACAACCGGCACCAACCCCAAAAATTCCGGCGAAACAACCTTTACCTGACTTGCCAATACCGGATCACTACGAATGTTACTGAACGAAAGCGTTGTTGTCCTCGGTAAGAAAGACGTTGTACTCATCCCTGGGAAAGACGGCAACGAGCCCCTGTGACCCCCCTCAATCGGACGTTTGACTGTTGAAATCGGCGCTACCCGACGGTGCACGCCGACCCCCAAAAGGACTCCCAACAACTAAATCAATCGCTTCACGTTGTTTTGTGACTCACACACCAGCTTTACGAAGCAATGAAATCCACTCGAGACACATACATCAACGATCCTTTGGCCAATTTCCTCTCCACGCGTGTCTGATGTACGCGCACTCTCCCAACGCAAGGCTGAAGCTGAATTATCACATATATACAGCACATTTGACAAGGACAAACATAGACACAGCACTTGACAAGGACAACAGCACTTTGACGTAGACACGGCACATTTTCAGCTTCAGCTTCCTTGCGGAATACTTATTACAGGAGAGCAGACCTGTGACGGTCTTGGGGGAAAAAGAAAAGCCAACGAACCTTGCTGTATTGACTACCCTGGAACTCCAAAGTTCACCAAAGAATGACCACCATCAGAACGATATCATCGCGTTGAAAAAGAGCTTCGAAAGCTTCCTGCCCGGAATCGGTGGAACCACAATGAATCATTGACCCCCTATCCTAGAAGTAAAGCACGACGACATTCCCTTCGAGGACTCAAACACTCCCGGACTTCGAACCCGCAATGACCAAGGCACCAATTAACCAAACGAAAATTTGAATCGAAATTCCTTGAGGCGGGGCAGCCCACCAACTTTTCAGCAAAAACTCTCAAGTTTCTACCCAACACAGGCTTTTTTTGATGGCCTGTGCCTCTCCCCCCCATCCTCCCAAAAAAGGACGGCACGTCGCTACCAAGAACCCAGAGCCAAACAGCAACAACCGACACACCACACCGGAAAAAAAAACATCATCGGCATCAGAAGGCAATACCAAAGACAAAAAATCCGGAACACACACACAACATCCACAAACAAAAAGATATCGAAGGGCGCCGGCGAGTGAAGTTAGGGAAAGCGCCGACGGAGTCGTTTGAAGGTGCTCGAAGCGCCGACGAGGTCGTAGGCAGTCGTAGGAAGCGCCGTCACGCTCTCCCCTTCCACCTTGAACAATCCTCGAGGTGCCGTCTCGCTCCCACAGCGCTCCCCATCCACCACGACAAAACCTCCTTCACAGCGCTCCTCGCCCACCGCGACGAAATCTCCACCACAGCGCACCCCTACCACCACGACAGTGCACCCCTCAGGTCCCGTTCCGTCGGACGCTCCCGGACCGCATGTGCACCAGAAAGCACCATGGGCCAGGCGGACCATCCACCGCCGTACAATATTTCGCCGGCGACGGCGACACGTTGAAACGCCGCTCGAGGTCGACGAAATGGATGTTGCACGGGAGGTCCTCCGCCCGCGCCCTCGAAACCTGATGCACCACCCCCAGCTGCCAGCCCTCCTCCTTCGACCACTCGTAAACATGCGCCCCTTTAATCTCCGCCGACAGGAAGGTCGGACCACGCTCCCATGTAGCCAGTAACGCGTAACCTGGTGGCACATCAAGGGAGGTACGGGAGCGAGCTTGCGCGCGGAGCGCGGCAAGCGTACTATAGTCACAGTGCACTCATTGTCGGCACCTACTTGACGTACTGTACTGCCCACCCAATACCTGTGCACAAAAATACCATACTGCTGGATGTTTGCTTTCGATTCCCAAGCGGGCTGGCGGTGTCCGCGCCAACGCGGGTCGTATTGTACCGCTATGGAACCCCCTGGACCTCTACTGATACGGTGACCGGTGATGGCAACCGGCGGTGCCCGCTGCACGTCAAGCTCTATTTCCGCTTCGTCCGCGGAGACAGAAAATGGGGCTAGGTCTGTGAATGCATGCAGCACGCAAGAACCAATCTGCCATAAAAAAATATCAAACGCCTGACACTCGGCGAGAAATTCGGACAGATCGCCTCCTGCTACTGCTTGGCTAGAGCTTGGAGGATGTTTTTTCCATCCAGGCAAAGGAGCGAACTCTCAATACACACCGCAGAACTCGCGCTACGACGTTTTTTTTCATTTGTGTTTGTTGGATCAGTCATCGTTGTTATCTTTCGCCGCCCCCGTCGGCGAGAGTAGCATATACGCGTCCGACCGGTGAGAACGGGGACAGCCGATAGAGATGCAAGCGGCTAGCGTTAAAAGCTATCGCAGGCGCGGCGCCGTTTGCGTCACTATCTTAAAGATCGGCCAACGGGGAAGCCGACGGCGGGGAACAACTCTCCTCTACTTCCACTGCGTTGTCACCCAACCGATTTGGTGGGATGGTACCACCATCGCGCGACTAGGTTTAACCTACGGCGGGTGGATTTGGATTTTCGGTAGTCACTGGAAGCACTAGCAACGCGCCCGATGCTCGCTACGTAACTACCCCGGGGAGATGACCTTACAACCGCAGGCGTCGTCTTGAGCGCCGGTTTTCTCACGGCAGCCAAATTCCCGTGATTGTCTTTACTACATTCGGTTCGGGTTTCGGTTTCAGATCGGTTTTCGGGCCGGTTTTGAGCCGCAGAAGTCTTCGTAAACGCAAGCTGGGATTCCACGGATCAAGCGGACAGCCCCGTCTTCTCTATCGCCTACGACTCCAGGACACAAGACCTGGTCGGCTAAGCTAATTATACTCAACCTCGTACTGTGCACTCGGTCTGTCGGACTCGGAGTCGGCTCGGGTTTCGGAGCTACACAACCTGGTAGCTTCGCCGGTGTTTTCTACTGTCCGACAAAGTAGGTGAGGAACTACAGTGGACGGCTCCCCGCCCCTCTCAGCACTAAAAAGGTCGGAAATCACCAGACGTGTCAGACGGCGGTAGCGACGGTTTCCGCCCGTCCTCACCACCGTAAGGTTCCGACGGTTCCGTCACCAAGAGGCGGAAACTCTCAGTGTCACCTTCCTATTTTCCAGAGTAAGAAGGGTGTCTCACCTATACCAACTTGGTATCGGATCGCGGAACGGCCCGAATGCCGGCGGATACACGTCCTCNTCACCACCGTAAGGTTCCGACGGTTCCGTCACCAAGAGGCGGAAACTCTCAGTGTCACCTTCCTATTTTCCAGAGTAAGAAGGGTGTCTCACCTATACCAACTTGGTATCGGATCGCGGAACGGCCCGAATGCCGGCGGATACACGTCCTCGTATGGAGAGGGCGGTATCAATCTCCTCGCGGGCACGGCGCACGGCAGCAGGACGGGCTGCGGCGACAGCGCCGAGCTGTGCACCAGCGGGGTAACCGCGTGGAGACGACGCACGTGGCGAAGAGTCGTACTGCGACCGGCAAGATGGGTAAATCCCCCGTGACGACCCGGACGGGCCAATTCCAGGAGATTCGGTAGGCGAGGGAGAAGAGAGACGGGCAATGGGCGTGCCCAAGGAAAAGGGCCTACTAGAACGAGAGGCTCACACGCGACAAGTCGCGCAGCCGGAAACAACCGAATTGCGAGTACACATTGCATTGACGCAGACGCGAAAGACTAAAGCGGTACTTCAAACCAAAAGCCAGCAACAACCAACAACGCAACGAATCTCGCACCCAGGGAAGAAACAAGCGCCGAGGACGCCAATGTTATACTTGGTATTCGGGTTCTGTTGATGACCCAATTACCCAATCAAACAAATGCAGAAAGTTGTTGTTGACTTCACATTAAACCGTATGCCAGTTGCTAAATGCCAAAATCTAGCAAAGACTCTCGGCCCGTGGTCACGAAAGTGCTGGAGCCATCTGAGGATCTAAAGAACACGCACACGTAGCAAGAAAAAGGTGTACAAGAGCCCGAAGAGGTACTACTACACCTATATATAATCCCTGCAGCACCGTACGCGTGCCCAAAACTGAACTACACGTCCGTCTCACCGTTCGACTACAGCAACATCACCCCCTAC